AATATATAAAACGCATACAGTAACTAACCTATATAGTGATTTTCCCTTTGCAGACCATAGCTGTAGCTCCTTTAGGACCAACAGCTCCTCTGACAGCTGCTACATATGAGTTCGGGACTTCTACCGGCACTGACTGTTGCTTACTAGGGTCTATTTGTATTGCGCTGCCGAATTCCTCAATGAGATCCCCCCTGCTTCTATCCAGCGGCAACGTGAGTGGTGTGTTTATTCCTAGTCAAAGCATATACATGAGATATCAGAACATAAGCATTCAATGAAAGTTATTCATTGTGTGTCAGGCAAAACATTAAAGAATATTCCAATACAACCACCATCATCAAGCTTGTTTAGCACAGATTTTAGCGTTGTAGTAGGCTGATCTTGATAATCAGTTCGTGTCTCTGCTCAGCAGTTGTTCTATCTATCTATCTATCTATCTATCTATCTATCTATCTATCTATCTATCTATCTATCTACCTATCTATGCGATCTAGCTATCTAGCTATCTATCTAGCTCTATCTATCTATCTATCTATCTATCTATTCTATCTATCTATCTATCTATCGATCTATCTATTATCTATCTATCTATCTATCTATCTATCTATCTATCTATCTATCTATCTATCTATCTATCTATCTATCCTATCTATCTATCTATCTATCTATCTATCTATCTATCTATCTATCTATCTATCTATCTGTCTGTCTGTCTGTCTGTCTGTCTGTCTGTCTGTCTGTCTGTCTGTCTGTCTGTGTCTGTCTGTCTGTCTGTCTGTCTGTCTGTCTCGGTCTGTCTGTCTGTTGTCTGTCTGTCTGTCTGTCTGTCTGTCTGTCTGTCTGTCTGTCTGTCTGTCTGTCTGTCTGTCTGTCTGTCTGTCTGTCTGTCTGTCTGTCTGTCTGTCTGTCTGTCTGTCTGTCTGTCTGTCTGTCTGTCTGTCTGTCTGTCTGTCTGTCTGTCTGTCTGTCTGTCTGTCTGTCTGTCTGTCTGTCTGTCTGTCTGTCTGTCTATCTATCTATCTATCTATGTGCCTTCCTGTCTGTCTGTCAGTCCATCTGTCAGACCGTCTGTCCGTCCATCTATCTATCTATCTATCTATCTATCTATATATCTATATATCTATGTGCCTTCCTGTCTGTCTGTCAGTCCATCTGTCAGACCGTCTGTCCGTCCATCTGTCTGTTTGTCTGTCTGTGTGTCTGCTTATCTGTTTTTTTTTTCTGTGTATCTGTCTACCTGCATGCGTGTTTGAAAAACTGATATCGGTGAATATATATACATATATATATGTATATATTATATATATATATATATATATATAATATATATATATATATATATATAGATGATATATATTCAGCGATATCAGTTTTATATATATATATATTATATATATATATATATATATATATAATATATATATACATATATAAAATGCACATCACATAATTTCACGCGCGTGCCTTTCAGTCAGAGCAAAGGGGTTTACCTCGTACGACGCCTGTGTTAAGTTTAGCCTTGATGACGTTCACGTCCGCATTGGCTTTGAAGACGTCTGCAACTGCGCTATTAGACTTGGAAATGTTCACCTGTTTTAAGTGTCCGTTAAAAAAAAAGGGGGGGGGGTGGAGGGGGAGCATTAATTGAGTAAAAGATACACTTCACGCGACAAAAGGCTTATGCCACAAATATAATTTTTTTTTAGCAGAGCGCAACTACTATTTTCTTGTGGTATTGTGTGGGGGGGGGGGGGGGTAAGGGGTGTGGGGTTGGGGGGGGGGGTGTGGTACCTACGATGCTGGCCTGTTATGATTTGTGTTATTTTTTCAGTTGAGTTTGTGTCTGTTAAATTTCTATTGTTTAAAGGCTCCAGTATTTTCAGAGTAATAAACTAAAAAAAAAAAAAAGGTATTATCTTCAGATCACCAATGGCATTGGCACAAAGAGCAAGGTTGTCCACTTGAGTCAAGGCAAAGCCCTTTCCTGCTTATTAATGAACGCTTACTTTTGCATTATTTTCCAGAAAAGGAGTTTCATGGCAGCAGAAAATCTTGGCCTGTAACCCTTGCCAGACGCCACAAGTTTCTAAAATGTCTCTAGAAACTCTTTAGCTTTTTTTTTTTTTTTAAGCCGTGGAGCATTCTTATTGTTTAACAACACTATATATACGTGTTCTATTCTTGATTTTCTCAAACCATCCTTTGCTGGCGTTGAACTATTCACTCTTCTGACGTCTTTGCTACCTTTAGTGGATGGCAAGTTCTGCGATAAATCTTTGTGAATATCTTGAACTTTTAAACAGATAATATTTCGAGAGACACTGTTTGCTTTAAGTTAAATGTCATAAATCTAGAGAAGTCTAAATTTCCATTTCTTACACTACTTTATTTTATCGAGATGGCACCTTACATACTATCTAGCCACATCCAATTACTTATACGAATGAGTTTTTTTTTTTTTTTTTTTGGAGAATTGTAGCTTTGGAGGACTTGACAAGTTATACTTAGTCAGTCAGTCAATCAGTCAGTAATATCCATTGCACAATCTTGCCCATAACAACTCTCCGGAAAAAGTCTATATCACAAGCAAGATGTCCCGCGTCCGATTACACCTATCTGGAGATCGTCTGCTACATCCTGCACCCATCTTCTCTTTAGCCTTTCTCTTCCTCTCTCTCTCAAGTTATGCTGCTCGCATAAATTAGTTAACCTGACGCTTTTCTCCTATACTTTTTTTTACAGTCTATTTATTAAATTTCTATTGTGATTTTCGTTTTCTGTTCTTTCTCTGTCTTCTTTGGCCTAATGTTGAAAATGATACGTTAGATCTAAATAATAATTTGAATTGTTTGTCCTTAATGCGGCTAGAAATTTATAGCATAAATAATTTGCTTCATTATCCGAATACCAAAAGAAATACACAAACAAACCAGATCAGTACGTTCAGCATGCGTGGCACACGTCACATCATACTTCAGATAAACGCGACGTGGTAAACAACAAACATGCGCACATTTACGGTGCATCACGGTTCACATCTGGAACCTAGGTTCGTATGTGAAGGTCAAAATGAGGGGACAAGTTCGTATCTGGAAAAGATCGCATGTAAAGCGGTTCGTAACTCTAGGCACAACTGCATACATCAACATGGAATGACAGTATACCGTGCTACACATCGGGCAGTAGATCACTAACTGTTCATTTCCTGCGAAACATGTTGCAGTTGATGAAATTTACTATGATGATATTATGGAGTGGAGATCGGTCTAGAAAAAGCGACTAGTAGTAAACGAGTATATCTAACACGATCTAACATCGTTGCCGTTGAATAGTAGGAATAATCTGTACTAGAAACCGAGGTAGCTTAGTGACCAGACTTTCCTGCAGGCCTGAAAATCATGGATTCCAATCCCTACATGGCAGATCTGCAATTTTTAAGAACTGAATTTGGCTCTTAGGTCGTTCCAACCTAAAATGTGCGCAGGAAATGTTCCTGTAATGAAAGACTCGGCTTTAGAAGATATAGTTTAGCATTAAATATCAGATATGAGTGCGTTTTTTCTTTCTTTTTTTTTTTTTTTTTTTTTTGGTTGTTTTTTGTTTTGTTTTGTTTCCCGGTCTAATATCTGAACGTTTGTCAGCCTGAGATTATAGAATGTCAATATAGAGACAGACCAACATAGGTAACCCTAGATACTCCGTTGAGCCTCGAAAGAAATTATAATTAAGGCACACAAATGACTACACCAGTTTGGTATAATATGTAGTCCTGCCCAGGTAAGGGCGCTTGTCGTAAAAGAGCCATTACTTTACTTGTATTTCTGTAGAACTGGACTTCTCGAAATAATCGGTAACAAGAACATTGTAATAGCCTTACCTGGCTACAATGTTCTCGACTATCAGTTTGAGAAAAGTCTGTCCACTCTAGAGTACCCTGGACAATTTCAAGCTTAACCCCATTGAGATTGATGTCGGTATCCCGTAAAGCTGAAACATGATTAAAAGCAAGAATCAGTAATGATCAAGAAAATAATTCGTTTATGTCATTATGTTTTTTTATTTTTTTTACAATCTCTACTTCTGTTGACAGTATTTGGCGCATAATAATTTATGTTAACACACTTCTACTAATCATCATCATCCACATCATGCTGTCATGTTATACGACCCACTGGGCTCGGAGTCTGTTCTTCAACACCATTCTGTCGAACCGAATATTTGCATTATCATGGATGGAATTTAGCACCTTTGGCCTCTCTCATCTACTTTCGTTTTCAAGGTTTCTTTTAGACTATCGCGTTTTCTTAGTCCATTTGTTTTCGATGCCAGTGAGTATTTGATCAGTGTGTTTACTGGACGAGTGGTTTATAAGTTAACAGCGATAAGCTCTCATTCAGAAGATCAAGGTTCGAGTCCTCAGTAAGGTGATGTTAGGTTTTTCTGTCTGTCTAGTGCTGTTTAATTCCTAACCTGCAAAGCTCGTACCTAGTGTACTAGGCATCCTTAGGTTCAAGACCCCTTGCCCTCACGACTCCGCCTCCTACAAAGTTCTAAAAGTGGTGCATTCGTGAATAAAGACAGTCAGTTCATTTCAGTATATATTAGTATTAATTTTAAGGGTCAGCTTATGCAACGGTATATTTGCTATGCTCTTTCCAGATCGTAACTGTCCACCACAATATTTGCAAGCTACTTCGTGAGCTTTGTTGCAGTATTTTTTTTTTTTATTTGACGTTTCTTACCAAACGCCCAGCTCATTAACTTCTCTGCAAACCGGTCAGGAAAGCAACAGCAAAATGCTGAACGTAAAATTTCCTAGCGAAAACCACAAACTGCTTCAAAAAATGCTAGTGTTGTGTCTGCGTCCTGTAAAGGATACCCAGCTAGCTGTTAATCCATTCCGATATTATTTAACTTCTTATAACTAGTAAACGTTTTTAAAACTAATAATTGTATGATTCAGAATGGAGTGAAATAATACAACTAAGGGAGAAGCTAAGCAAGAAGAACATTACATTCTGAACTGGGTGGATTAGTGTAACAGTAGAATGTGGCATGCAACTTACAATGCGCTGTGAGTAGTTTGGAACCGATCACCAACAACTATTAAAAACCAGCCAAACTAACCTCTGAATTGGGCGTCCTGCTGATCGATGCCCTGAATGGCTTCCTTGAACAGTTTGGTAGCGTCGATCATGTCGTCTACGTCTACGTGTAAAGATGTCAAAGAAACAAGAAACATGTTATTCTGTTGTGAAGCAGACGTAACTTGTGGAACTGTGACACTACTGTTGTGTGGCAACTATATTACAGACTTTAAATATCCTTCTGTTTGTTGACACCTTCTATCTTTCCGGTCCATAATTTTTAATGGTCCTATAGTGAGGAATGGTCATCACAGACCAAAGGGATTGGCGATTAGCAAGACCCGCTTATATCAAGTTCCCCGCAGTTAAGAGTAGGGGATTTCAGTACCATTGATGCCACCGTGGTCCTTTCGTTTGCCGTGGTCCTTTCGTAATTAGTCCTGACGACTACAGAAATCACCTCATAGCTACTTGAAAGCTATTGCAATCGGCTATAGCAGTCACCTGATATTTTATCAACACTCGCCAGATAGTAGAGAGTAGAGAAATATTTTGAGTAAGATGACCCGATCACAGCCAGCAGCCAATAAACATGCTATGTACCAAGAGAGACTGAAACAGAAGGAGGATGAGACCAGAGTCGACAACGATGAGGAAACAAAAAAAGTCTGCTTGAAACCGACACATTACCAGCCAGGGAGCTAAACTGGTTGACAGTGATAGCATCGGCGACCATGAAGCCCGATAAGCAAGCATCACCGCCAGTCAAACCAGAACCAATCAGGAGGCAGAAAGAGCAACTAATCATGCCCAACAATGGGAAGAGGCTGCCGAATCAGTAGACCCCAGTGCAGATGAAGCAAACGAGGTCACGACAGTCGCCAGCCTGTCCCAGCGTGAAAAAAAGCGGGTGAAGTCACAACTGACCAACCAACAGATCCTGGAGCAGCTGCAGCAAATGACACAGTTGACACCAAGTTTGTAAAAGCGGATCGGCTATGGTCAAGAAACAAATTATCCAGGTGGCGATTGGGACGACCGTTTAGTTTCTTAATGTGCAATAGAAAGAAATTGATGCGGATTTTTAGTTTAAATACTCATATGAGAATTTTTTTAATTCTTACACTGTAATACAGATATAATCAGTTTGCTTACTTTAAAAAAAAAACTTAAAACAAAATGTAAAAAAAAAAAAAAAATTATTAAAATGTTGATGAAAACAAATGTATGAAATTTAACTGAATACAGATTTAAATGGGATCCTTTTCACTCCTTATTAGGCATATAGGGTTAGACTTATACTTCATAGATCAATCGACACTAAGTGTGTGATATGGTCAGCATGACGCTGACCGCCTTTACTTCCCAGGACTCCACATGGTACTCATTCAAGACTGGGTCAACCTGGAAGCGACTGTCATTTTTGACGAAATGTCCGATACCCCTCAGAACCCGATTACACGACCTTCTGATCCGCAGGCTAGCGTCTAGCCACTACACCACGACAGCTTCGTATACACGTGTAAATGAATACGGTTCAAGCGCACCAGGACCGCACAACGAGCGATAAACACCCTGTAACGAAGTGTCGCCATTCATTTTGTTCGTGCTTTATATTAAAACATTTATCAGTTGTAGTAAAGAATTCTCAGAATATAACACGATTAACTGGCATTCTACATGGGACTCAAAGATTTACAGGACTCACACCCGAACTGAGTGTTAGAAACTGTGTATGTAAGGATTATTATCACATCATTTAGGGCGCTTTTTATTTACAGAAACCCAGTTCAACCGTTAGGATATTAGGGCCCGTGACAGGAGCCGTTAGGGCTTTAAAATAACGAAACATGGTGTCCCGTATTGTGACAGCTCTATTTCTTAGTACAATAATAAGCAATACAGGCACTGAAAAACATACCAGAATATTTGTACATATCGATAATAGGAAGAAAAATACAACGAAACTTACCTCGATAACACAAACGTGTAGAGTGAGGTCCTGTCAGTTTCTTTGAATAGGATGGAATGAATCAAGCGCTGTCTGCCAGAATCGTCTTGCAGTTTTATAGGCAGATCTATGACGTGGCTAAGTATTCCCGAACACATAACAGACGGAAAGTTCCAATAGGAAAATTTCAAGAAATCTGTTCATGTAATTATTTCGAGGTGGATTGAGTCATATCAAATTATTGACAGATTAAAAGTAAACTGTATGCAATATCGAAGATACATTTGTACTTGCAACTATGGTAGAGAAAGACGTGACTTTTAAGTTTAAAAAATTAACAATTCCTTTTATTAGTTGTAGATAGTGGCGCGGTGATTTAGGTCACAGGCGTGAGGGAAAGTTAAGTCCAACATGATGTGTATAAGGAGATACTCCGTACGTCACTCGGGCACCAGTCCTTCACTGTTCTGGTTTTACGGAACCTTACGCAAAACCCCTGCAGCACGTCCTTGTCGTTCGACACGGATAATGTCTCAAATGAGTATTAACAGAGCTGTCAGGGGATCTCGGAGTTGGCGGCCCCCAGAGGTGTAGTGTCATTGTGGCTCTCATCAGCCCGCCCCCAAATGCATGGGTGAAAAGGGTTATCAAAACTCATTAGGAACATGAGTAAAGTGCTTGCCAAATGTACAACTAAAATTACAACCCTTGGTTAAAAGATTGCGGAGTGAAGAGAACATTGTTCTGCTGAGACTCAACCCTTGACCTAGAGATTTACCCGCAGCACAGACGAGCAACATCTCCTGTGGGTGGCGTCTCGCAGCAAGATTCTACATCCTCTGTTAACCCTCAGTGTCGTCGTCACTGCGCTCAGGTACACCACAATAGCAACAGCCCATTGGCTGGCTAAGCCTAAATGTCCGACAAAACTAGATCCTACGGCACACGAGTAAGCTCAAAATCCGACCATCACAAATCGTATTGAATGGAAACAGTCCAAATGTCCACACCCAAAGACCTCACTCGCCCGAGTGTTGGGACCAAACAGATAACGATATGCCTGACGCAGGATGTTAAATTCTGTCGTACTAACGGCTCGTCAAAGATATCTAACGTGCGAAGAAAAAGAATGTACCTATTCGTGTGGTCACAAAAGTCCAGAACCCGCGGGCTGCTTCCCGCTGATCTCCGGAGGGAGCAGCCCTTGTCAAGCGGGAGGCCTTATACGGTTGTGAGGTTAAGCAGGCATGTGCAGGACGTGACGATTCCTTGGGTGAGCCCAGAACCAGAGCGCTATGTGCCGGCTCTGCTAACCGAGGGCTAACCGTTCCACAAGGGGCTGCCCCAAAGGGGTTCTCTTGGGGCAACACCTGCGGAGAAGGAGACATAGAGGACACCACACAAATCAGACAACTTCTCGACCCAACAAAAAAAATGGCTACAGTCATCCTAGAAATAGGCCTGACGTCTTCCCTCGAGGCAGGGAACAGCAAAACGGTTGTACACGCAAAACTCAGGTCCAGGTAAAAGCCAAAAGTCCAAGCGGACGATTCACCGGGACCTTCCGCCGGAATTCACAGCCGGTGAACGAAAAAGAAGATGAAGTTGTAGATAATGTGCTGATATACATTTATTTGAACTAAATACAGGGCGTGCAATAAAGAGATAATTTAAACTAATGATACTTATACAATGAAAATAAGTGATAATTTCAATATTGCTATAGTTACCATAACGTTTTTTTTTTTTTAAAAAAGAAGCCAGTATACATCTTTTATTATTATAATAATTATTATTACTTTGTTGTTGTTGTAGCTTTAAAATCGCCGATGTCTTTAATTTATAACCACCATAATATTTCTTTATCCTAGCTGGTATTTTCATCCTGTATATTATCTCACTCATTCGCAAGCAAGTCTCCATGCGTTTGTTTAACTCTCTTACACTACAAACCTTCTCTTCCCCCCCCCCCCCCCCCTCTTCTCCCAAATCCAGTAATTACACTAACTATCTTTCTCAGTTATTGCTTTTTATCCTGTATAGTGTTATTATTGTACGTGCTTCAGATTCAAACATTTATCAGTTCCTGTAATGAATTCTCAGAATATAACACGATTAACTGGCATTCGACCTGGGACTCAAAGATTTACAGGACTCACACCGGTACTGAGTGTTAGAAACTTTGTAGGTAAGGATTATTATCACATCATTTAGGGCGCTTTTTATTTCAGTTAAAAAATTCTATAGGGCACTTTCTAAAACATCAGCTCAACAGCTGGGACACTGTGTGACTCGATTTCCCATCACCCAGGACATGTGTTTATCACGATTCTTGCTTCACTTAGGACAATGTATTTCACTAATAGCGCTTCATTTAGATCATTGTATTTCTCGATTATCACCGCACTTAAGACATTGTAATTTAACCTCTAACACCTCACTTAGAAAAATATTTCAAGACTAAAAAAATCACTTTAGGAACATGATATATTTCCCTGTTAGTATGATTAGGGTCGTCGGCCGATAGCCACGGCCAAATCTATTTTATGATTAGCATACGACTTAGGACGCTGTATTTCACATTTCCAGAGTTATTTAGGATACCTTCTAAAAAATTATTATCGCATCACTTAAGGTCCTTTCATAATTATCGTGTATTAGGATACTATGTAACCATTAGCACATTTCTTAGGACAGTACTTCTCATTGTTAGCGCATACCTCTCTCTCTCTCTCTCCCTCTCACTCCCCCTCTCTATCCCCCTCTCTCTCTCCCTCTCGCCCTCTCTCTCCCTCTCTCTCGCCCTCTCTCTCCCCCTCTCTCTCCCCCCTCTCTCTCTCTCCCTCTCCGCCACTAAATCTCTCCTTCTCTCTCCCTCTCTCTCTCCCCTCTCTCCCTCTCTCTCCCCTCTCTCTCCCTCTCGCCCTCTCTCTACCCTCTCTCCCCTCTCTCTCCTCTCTCTCTCTCTTCTCTCTCTCTGCTCACTAATAATTTCTACTGAGATTAATCTACCTGTCTGTGACAGTCGTTGCCACATAAACACTTTCAGTTTTCGTGTTCTATTTATTATAATTATTTTTCAATGTTATTACCTCTGTGGACACATGAATTTGTGTGTGTGTGTGTGTTTGTGTGTGTGTAATCGATCGATTAGATTTA